ATATACCATTCTATATATATTTTACCAGCTATATATCTATCTTGATGTAGGATGATGAAAAATTGTTCCTTTTGTCACGGGGCATTCATAAATGGAGTATATACAACAGAAGTAGACATATATTGACAGATTTACATCATTGTTAGAAAGGCCTTGACAAAAACCCAATTATTGGATTGGGTTTAAATATCTACTTCTTCAAAAAAGGGAAGAGGATTTCAAATAGTTTCATCCTTCCTCAAATATCTTAAGGTCCAATAGAATGAGTCTACAATTCCTAATTTACTCAGATACTTCAAGTACCTCTAATAGAGTTGCTGTTTAAACCACCTAGGAATATTTAAATTGATTCCTTCATCCACTCACAAAAATTAAAATCAATTATTTTTAATTTCTTTCAAAAATATCACCAGTAGATGTGAAGCTTGAGATGTTATGATATGGACATGAACAGATCAACACAACTAAAGCCTTGGAGATATTTCAGTTGCAGTAGTAGTAATTCTATAATAGTAAAATATTACACGGTAAATAAGAGTAAATTACAAATAGGTTCCAATCTCTCTTGGCTAACAAGATTCCTGCTTAAATCCTTGAGTAAGGTGAATATTAAAAAGTTGAGATCATTAACTGCTTTTGAACAATTAATCATTAATTACTCTTCCAAACCCAAAAACAATCTCAAAAATGTATACATTATTAAAATTGGAAGTAAGTGACAGCTATTCCCCCTCCCCCTTGCCTTATAGATTTAAAAGAAGCTTGGGATACAGATTTAGTTAAACAAATCAAGAGATGAACTTTGAAAATAAGGTGTAATCCTATCCTATAGAAGAGATGCATTGAAGATGGTACATTGCTGGCATTTAGCACCAACAGCTCATAATTCATCACAATGTTGGAGCAGTTATAATCTTAAGAGAATATTTTTCGCTGTGTGGTGGACTTAAGAAAATATTGCATCTCAGTGGAACACAATATTCAAATAAGTTAAAATAATGACTGAAAAAAATGTGTTCCAGAGTTTGGATTATCACATTTTTTAAATTCAAAAAGCAAAGGAGTTTATAAAAATTTTACTGTTGTTTACTAAGATAACAAATATTCAAAAAGTGAACATTTTTAGATAATCTTTCATTGATCAATCGGCATGCTACAGTATGTTCAATTGCTTATGGAAAAAGTTACTGATAAAATTAGGCTACTGATACGTAAGGGATAGATCACAATAGTTTTGGTTCTGGAAAGATAAATTCAGCAATATATGTAATCCATGACTGAATGTTGCATTATATTGTTCTAGACTTTACCTTGCCTTGTTTCTTTCTTGCCCTACAGACTGTTCAGATGAATAAAAATAAAAATTATACAGATATTAGTATTGTGAGCACAATAATGCAATGGCCCAAACCAGTTGCATATGGGATAATAATCTGGATAATAATCTGCTTCAGTTATAATTAATATAGTGCCCTGAAGAAATGCTGAACTACATCCCTCATCAACCTACAGTAGATAGCAATGCCATAGTGGCAGAGGAATGAGAGAAGTTGTAGGCTAACACATTTAAAAGAGTATCAAAAGAAAGACAGCTAATCTTTTCTCACATGTTGGGGTTTAGTACCTGTATATTGGGAGTTTCCTATCAAATTCTGTACCTGTCAATAGTGGTGTCCCCCAAGGCAGTGTTCTAGGACCAACTCTCTTCATACTCTACATAAATGACCACTGTGATCATATTAAGAGCAACTGCGTTCTCTTCGCTGATGATGTAAAGCTGTTCAATACCATAGACAATACTGCTACCCTTCAAAAAGATCTTGACTATGTATCAGAATGGTCAAACAAATGGCAACTTCAAATCTCAACAAATAAATGCTCTGTCTTACATATTGGCAAAAAAAATAATCAGAAAATAAAATACAAGCTGAATAGTCAAGACCTTGCTGATGATCAAAACTCTGTCAAGGATCTTGGAGTACTCATCTCTAATGATCTAAGTGCTAGAGCCCACTGTAACTACATAGCCAAAAAGGCATTAAGAGTTGTTAACCTAATCCTACGTAGCTTTTTCTCTGGTAATATCACACTACTAATATCACTATCACACTAGCATACAAAACATTTGCTAGACCAATACTCGAATACAGCTCATCAGTCTGGAACCCACATTACGTATCTGATATTAGCACAGTTGAGAAAGTCCAGAAATATTTCACAAGAAGAGTTCTCAACTCCTCTACTCGTAGAATACCTTATGCCACCAGACTCAAAATTCTAGACCTAGAAAACCTTGAATTACGTCGTCTTCGGTCTGATCTAAGTATGGTATATAAAATCATACATTGCAATGACTTACCTGTCAATGAATACTTCAGCTTCAACCATAACAACACTAGAGCAAACAATAGATACAAACTCAAGGTAAACCGCACCAAACTTGATTGCAGGAAATACGACTTCAGCAACAGAGCGGTCAATGTCTGGAATGCTCTACCTGACTCTCTCGTTTCTTCCCCAAACCCCAAAAACTTTAACCTTAGACTGTCTACTATTGACCTCACCCCTTTCCTAAAAGGTCTGTAGGGGACGTGCATAAGCGCACCAATGTGCCTACTGTCCTTGTCCTATTGTTTCTTTTATTTTTCTTATATGTACCCATTTCATGTATTCATAACTATGTTTATAGTTATACCTATTATCTTGTAAGCAATTGACAAATCAAAATAAATAAAAAAATAAAATATTTCAGTGGTGCCCCACATGAAAACAACAACTTCTGTGATTTTCATTATTTCCTCTTTGTTCAGTAAACACGTTATTATAACAGCACACATTAACCATGTCTTCTATTTTGAAAAACTACCAAAAATCTTGCCAATTACAATTACCTTCAATTTTTAGGAGTTCCAGTCTTTTGATAATATTTGTGCATGAAAATTATAGAAGTGATTGTTTTTTGTGCAGATTATTTGAGCCAATTTATTGTGTTCACTTTCTCTATTTATATACTCCCCAAAGATCTGGATTATTTGCTACCGGCAAACATTAACTTTTTTGTTTGTTAAAATGGGGGTGGAGGAAAGAAAATAAAAGTTAAAAGTTTCTTTGCATAGAACATGATGTGCCCAAGGACATGGCTTGAACTGGCTTCTAAACACCTTAGAAAGCATAACTTAATTGTCTTTTTCTGTGAAGAGGTTCATTATTCAGTGAAGTAAACTTGATGATTACATTGACAGAATATACAGTATATTCATATATCCAGAAGCACATACCATAGGTAACCAAAGTTAGGGAAGCCATAATTTTCAACTTTGTTGATAAATGAATGATTAAAACATTAAATTACCCTGCAGTTATAAATAAGTCACAAATTAGGTATTAATTTAATTTATTCATCAAATTTAAAGACCACCCATCTCTCAGAGCAACTCTAGACAGTGTACAATTAAAAACATAAAAGCCATATGAAAACTATATTTGTAAAAGGAGGCAGTTAAAACATAGTAGGAATAATTAAAATTAGGATTATGTTTTTTTTTAAAAAGTGGGCTGAGGGCCTTCAAAGCACCCAATCTCAAGGTTGCTTGCTCCTCTGTGTTGGCAGTCCTGTGTGTTGGCAGAACCGGATCTTCAAATTCTTCTGAAAGGCCACGAGAGTGGAAGCCCATCTCACTTCAGGGAGAGGGGTGGGGACTATTGACCTCACCCCTTTCCTAAGAGGTCTGTAGGGGGCGTGCATAAGCGCACCAACGTGCCTACCGTCCCTGTCCTATTGTTTCTCCTATTCTTTTATTTTTCTTGTATGTAACCATTTCATGTATTCACAACTATGTATACATTTATACTTATTATCTTGTAAACAATTGGCAAATCAAATAAATAAATAAATAAATAAATAAATATTCTAAAGGGCAGGCAGAGAAGGCTCTTTTTGTGGACTCTGCCAGTTGAAATTCTTTAATTGAGTCTGTAACTTACGTTCTCTGCCTGACCAGGTGGAACAGGTTCAGAGGTGGTATTCAGCCAGTTCTGACAGGTTCTGGAGAACTGGTAGCAGAAATTTTGAGTAGTTCGGAGAACTGGTAAATACCACCTCTGGTTGGCTCTGCCCCCATCTATTCTCTGCCTCCTGAGTCCCAGCTGATTGGCTGGGTCTTCTTTTGTTGCCCTGAGCAGAAGAACAGAGCTGGAAAGCAGGTTTGTATCCTTCTCCTGGACTGGGTAGAAATTGAGATTTTGCAATATTCTTCCCCTACCATGCCCACCAAGCCACGCTCACAGAACCGATAGTAAAATAATTTGAATACCACCACTGGACAGGTTGATGTAATGGGAAAGAAGATAGTTCCATAGGTAACCTGTCTCCATGGCACATAGGTTTTAAAGGTCAAAACCAACAAATTTTATGAAGCTGTGTTGTCTCTGAATTTAGCAGGTTGGTTGAAAGATAGCTCTGAGTTCTTTCTTAAGTCAATTTCACAAAGCTGTACAGTATTTTAAGCAGTTGCTCAGAACACTTTGCAAATAGGAGAAAAAAGCATCAGGTATGCTACTTTAACAAAACAAAGGCAGGATATTAATAAGGAGGACGGGAAGGGTGAGATAAAAAGATAATTGGTGCAATAAAATATATTTTATACATTAAGCTTCTGGGGACATTATCTCCCACCTCCAAATTAGCAGAAATAGCCAGATCTTTCCTTTATTGGTTCCTCACATTCCTGAATGATGTGCTGTCCTGGTGTTTTAAGTTTTCAGGTATTCATCCTCACAAGCTTTAGCCTTTGCCTTTGTCCCTGCTCCTAATCTCTTTCTATCCACACGGAAAATAGTCCAAGCAGGTCACCTGCTTTGCCCTAAATTGTTCAGCCTGTCTCAGCAGAGAGGGAATCAAGACACCAAACAAATTCAGAAGTTGCTTATCTCAGTTGTGGGAGGAGGAAAAGAGCACAGCGTCACTGAAGCCACTGTCCCTTGCAACACCAGCCACAGAATACATTTCTGTGGGGAAGTGGCAAGTTGCTGCAGGCAGAACTGACTTCCGTGTATCTTTCAGCACATTAGCATCAATGGGAAGATACAGTGTGAGCCCTGTCCCCAAATGTCTTCTACTGATGTTCCTGGGTTGGTCAGGGCTGAAGTATTACCAAGTGAATGCAGCTCAGCTCAGGGAGTACCGTATAGCTGCTCAGCTGGAAGACTGGGATTACAACCTCCAACCTGAGGAGCTATCCAGGTAACAATAATTAGGGGGCAGGATAAGGAATGTAATGGGGGAAATATTCAGAAGATTTGTTTAGTGAGCAATGTGAAGCTTTGGGAACCCAACCTGTGTGGTTGGAAAGCCAAGTTTAGTCCACCGTGGTGCTTATTTAGTAATCTACAATTAAGCAAATAAAGTGTTTTGTGAACACAACCAGTTAATAAAGAAGAGCTAATCGATTAGATGGCTTTGGATTCATTTCAAGAGGGGATATGCTATGACTTTCACATTGCTTTGACTAAGAGGTATTGCTTAGCATTTTCCTTTATAGGTCATATTTTCCAGTTTGAAACAATTGCTGTACTATATTAAGCAGAGCATTGAAGCTTGCAATTATATTAGGCAGAGCATTCAAGCTTATCTTCAACTGGAATAGTTAAAGTAGCGAGGCTTGGATATTCCATTTTTTTACAGTGACAATTTGGCTCTGTGATTTCCAATGTATGTTTTTATTATCTCGGTGCACCACTTTGTAGATATAACTCAACAACTGTAGAAGGGAACCATTTTAAATGAACAATGATAAGCACTGTTCAGGAGAAGCTTTACCATTTGATTTAGGAGATACATTATGGTTTGCTTTTATCCTTCTTTCTTTAACCATTGCCAAATGTTTTCATTTGCTTAACAACCTCTCTACTCTTTGCCCTTTAATCTCTACATGCTTTGCAATAACTCCTTATCCAATACTCCCACCATTTATCTAGCTTACTATAGTCTTCTCACCAGCATTCTATCCTCTCAGCTTTATTAATGTTATGCTGCATGTTAAATTTCAATATTCCAGTTCTTGTGTTAAAGTTCTGAATATATTTTTTTCATTCCTACTGTTTTCACAGACGCTCCATTCCATTTTTACTTGGCATCTATTCTGTCTTCTTTCTTTTCTCCTATATAGCTATATGTCTGACTGATCCAAAAATTCTTGTGTACCTTGATAGGATTTCTAGGTATGAGAGTCTCTTTACAATATTACTGGTCTCAACAGCTGTTAATAAATGAGTTTGCATCAATCAGCGGGTTGACTTCTATATATAGATGATTAATAGGACATTCCATCAGCTAATTTCATTAAAGTGTTGTCACAATGCAAAGTAGTGTTTAAAGGTACTGTGTAAGTGGATGGCATGATGTAGATTAATTTCAAGGTATTGTTGAAAGTCCAGATATTTACATGGCCTGATCCATTTAGGATTCCCTTTCTCCCCAAATATTTCTTCTTGTCAGTGAAAAACCCCATTACAGTATTTCTGGTTCATTCACTGCATTGGGTCAAGGGCGTTATAAAGACATTGATAATGTATGGGAATGTGCTTAACTAGCATAGTGAATTTTCAGCCAAAGAGTTGGAATATATTATTTTACTAAATTATTTTGTATGGTTTCAGATTATCAGAGTCAGATCGTACGTTTCAAAAAATTGTCTATAGAGAATATGAACTAGATTTCAAACAAGAAAAGCCAAGAGATGAGCTCTCAGGTAAAGGCAATATTTTCAGACTATATTCAATGTATAGTGTACCTATGATTGCGAACCCAAATGAACTGCAATTCTCAACTTGATTGTCCGAGTAGTTTTTACTATGTTTAAATCCAAGCCTCTGGCAAAATTTCCAATGGATAATTCTGTCAATGCTTGTATTCAGTTTGTGAAATTTTGCTGCAGCCACTGATCAAATGGTCAATTGTTTCATCCTTTGTACAACAAAGTTGACATTTACTGTTGTTTGTTACATATTGATTTTTCACTACAATTAGTAGTCGAAGCTGTTCTTGAGGCACTAAAGTAAAGCCTTCAGTTTCTTTAACACTCCTGATCTTAACCATCCTACCTTTCAGCAATACCGCTGACAAAGCTGAAATAGATGGACAGACCAACAAAGTTTGAAGTATCATTCTATGTTTATAAACCTATAATGTTGCATGGGAATGCTGTCCTGCTTGAGACTGGTGCAGTGGCTGCAACTTTGGGTTTAGCTGGGATTTCAAAAGCTTGCTATGATCTAGTACAGGGCTGTCAAACTCGATTTCATTGAGAGCCGCATAAGGGTTGTGTTTTATCTCAGGGGGGGTGAGTGGGTGTGGCTGGGATGGGCATGATCAGGGTAGGCATGGCCAGCTTGATGTCCTGCTGCTCTCTGTCAACAAAAAAAGAGCTCAGGAGGGCCAGTAGAGGCAAAGCGGGTCGGCCCTTAGCTGTTTCCAGGATGGCCCCACAGCCATACCTAAGCACCCCGCAGGTCAGATGCAGTGTGTGGACCTTGAGTTTGACATCCCTGATCTAGTAGCTAATGTTGTCTAGACAAATCTCTTGTGTCTTCAGTTTTGATATCTGTATTGTCTGAACAAATATGTTTAATTTATTTATGAAATTGGTCACACATTCTTCAATACAGGTAGCCCTCAACTTACAACCACAATTGAGCCCAAAATGTATGTTGTTAAGTGAGCATTGATTATGTGACTTTGGCCCCATTCTACGTCCTTTCTAGCCCAGGGGTCTGCAACCATAAACACTAAAAGAGCCATTTGGACCCGTTTCCCACAGAAAAGAAAACACTGGGAGCCAATAATTTAACAACCGGGGTGACTGGGCGGGCATGGCCAACTCGACATCACTCACTCCCACCCAGTCACCTCTTGCTCTGGAATATGGACTGAGTCTTCATCCCCTGCCATCACCCTTACCTTCTCAGGCCAGGCGAGGAGTGACGGGGAGGGAGGGGAAGGGCCAGCCAGTGGTGGGATCAGCCAACAGCCAGCAGAGGGCCGAAAGAGCCACATGTGGCTCCAGAGTCGCAGGTTGCAGACCCCTGTTCTAGCCACACTTGTTCAGTTAATCATTGCAGTTGTTAAATTAGTAGCATGGTTGTTAAGTGAATCTGGCTTCCCCATTGACTTTGCTTGTCAGATGGTCGCAAAAGCTGTGCACATAACCCCAGGACACTGCAACTATCATAAATATGAATCAATTGCCAAGCATATAAATTTGATCACATGACCTCAGGGATGCTGCAATGGTTGTAAGTGTGAAAAATGGTCACAAGTCACTTTTTCCATTGCCGTTGTAACTTTGAACAGTCACTAAATGAACTGATGTAAATCGAGGACTACCCGTTTAGTTAAAGCAGCGGACAAAGGAAGCAAGTTAAAGTCTTGGGTCTACTCATCCAGCTACGTTCTTTATGTGGCTGCTCAATTTCTCCATTCATGCATATAGGCCAATGTGCATCTTACAGATGAAATGCTAAGCCACTATCTCTTTGCCTGAGTATAATTTGTCAGGTGGATTATTTTGGAATATAAGTGCCATGATGACCTTCTTGGGGGGAGATAGGGATGGATAGCTAGAGAACAAAATAAATAAACCCCTGCTCAGAAGAAAATATTAAGGTATTTATTTGCTATTAAACCGTAGCTAATTAATTTTACAGGAAGACTTCTCACTTCCCTTTCTGTACCTTTGCTGCAGTCAGTTTATGTTCAAGCCATAAGAAAAAGAAAACAAATATTCTTTCAAGTATCATTTTTATATTTAATTATTCTCTTTAAAATCATTTATCAATGTGCTTTGAGCAGGGCTCCTAGGGCCAACACTACGTGGAGAAGTGGGAGACATCCTCATAATTTATTTCAAGAATTTTGCTACTAAGCCTGTGAGCATTCACCCGCAGAGTGCTGTGTACAACAAATGGTCAGAAGGTAAACACTGCCATAATATTGTCTGAATATCCTGATCATTTCTATCTTTGGTAGATTTGAAACATGGCGTTAAATTCTAAGTAAACGTGGTTAGGATTGTGCATGTGGGCAACAGCTGGCAATGACAGAAGCAGACACCTAAATGTTTCTGAGGCATAGAATTTGACTACTTTATGGATGCTTTGAAGCCTCAACCACAATTGAGCCTTAAACTTCTGTTGCTAAGTGAGAGTTAAGTGAATTTTGCCCAGTTTTACAATCTTTCTTGTCAAAGTTAAGTGAATCACTGCCGTTATTAATTTAGTGATATGGTTGTTTAGTGTAGGGGTCTCCAACCTTGGCCACTTTAAGACTTGTGGACTTCAACTCCCAGAATTCCTCAGCCAGCTTCTCTTATGACTTGGTTTGTCATAAGGTTGCAAAAGGTGATCACGTGATCTTGGGACATGCAACCGTCATGAATATGAACCAGTTACCAAGTATCCAAAATTTCATTCTGTGATCATGGGGAGGCTACAACAGTCATAAGTGTTGAAAAACATTTGTAAGTCGCTTTTTTCAGTGACACTGTAATTTCAAACAGTCACTAAATGAACTGTTATAAGTTCAAGGACTACCTGTGGATAGTTTTCTTCATTATTTCTTCATTATTCAGGGGTTTGTTAATACTTTCAAAATATGTAGCTTAGCAGAGTTGTATCCTTGAATGTTTTTTTGGGGGGGTGAACAGGGGTGGGCTTCAAAAATTTTAGCCATGGGCTCTCTGTCCAGCTGCTGGGTGGGTGTGGCCATGGTCTAGTTGGCCTCCTGCACCAGGATGAGGGGATGTTTTTTTCCCTCCCCAGGCTCCGGAGGCTTTCCTCGAGCCTCCGGGAGGGCGAAAATTGCCTCCCCAGGCTCCGGAGGCTCTCTTGAAGCCGAAAACGGGCCCATTTCCAGCCGTCCCAAACTTCTGGGAGGGCAGTTTTTCTCCCTCCCCGAGCCTCCATGCCAGTGGTGAGATTCAATTTTTTTTACTACTGGTTCCTTTTTTTACTACTGGCTTAGTGGGCGTGGCAGGGGAAAGAGACTGTAAAATCTCCAGTCAGAGGTGGTATTTGCCGGTTCTCCGAACTACTCAAAATTTCCACTACCGGTTCTCCAGAACTGGTCAGAACCGGATGAATACCACCTCTGCTCTACACGCGCCCTCCACTTACCTGCATCCAAAAGAGGCTGCATGGGAACTCCTGGGAGGGGTGTGGTGGAGTGGGTGGGGCCAGCCAGGAGTGGGATTTGGGTGTTCTCCAAACTGAACAGAATCTTAGACTGAGGATCTTCCGAACCCCTGCGAACCCCCAGCAGCCCACCCCTGGTTGTGAGCCTTCAATCTAGGTGAAGCCTCTTACAGCAAAATTGGGTATTCCAGTTCCCACGTTTGGTAGGAAAAGCAACTTTGAGTTTCCCAGACCCAGATCATTTCATTTGATCCTCTTGCGACTCTGCTGGCTCTCCATCAAGTTGTCTAATGGTATTTGAGTATGATCTTCGGAACTGAAGTTAAGAGATGCTGCGACTGTGGGCTGCTGCCTCTTATCTGATCACTCCCTAGGTAGCATCCCTTTGCCCAGCCCACAAAGTCACTTCCACTTTCAGTCAGTTTTGCCTCATTTAAAAAAAACTTCAGGTTTGTTCCGCCATCTCTCACACACAAAATCAGACAAAAATATTCAACATGTACTGTAAACATGGAAGGGCACACCAACAACTTATTTGGTTTTTATATAAAAACACCAAGGAACACCAAGGAATTATATTTTTGCAGTCTCATTAGTCAGCTGAAGGAAGGTCACTAAATCAGCCCAGAATATTTTATGTCTCCTTTGGGTTTGCAGGAGTGAGGATAATCCTAAAACTTGACTATTAATTATAAATATTAAATAGTTTTAAACATTTGATGTTTATACTGTATTAATCATAAACATTTATAATTAAATATTTTAAATATTTAAATAAAATTATTTAAAATAGTTTGAAGAGGTTGAAGAGTAGAAGTGGAGCCAAATTGAAGAGCTCTTGGACTGTGCACATATAGAACTCATGAGTAGCAAAAAAAAAAGAGGAGCAGTGAGATATAGGAGAACTAAAATATGGATTAAGATCTTAAGAAATATGGATTAAGAAGGACCCAATTTTCAACCAGATCTGTAATAGAATTAGCAAGTGTATGCATGTCCACTCACTTGCATATGCATTTATTTTACAATGGCATTGTTGGTAATGAATGAGTGGTGCGGTGGCCTAGAGGTGGAGCTTCGTCTCACAATCAGGAGGCTGTGAGTTCGATCCTGGGTAGAGGCAGATATTTCTCTGTCTAGGCATGAGGAGAATATATCTGCTGAATATAACTCAGTATTGGTGACAGGAAGGACTTCCGGCCAGTAATCACTCAGCTCCATTCAGTTGCCCAGATTCCACCCACAAGGGATTATGGGGGTCATTAAAAGATGATGATGATGATGATGATGATGATGATGATTGTTGGTAATGAACCATGATAGCCTCTTTCCTTTGCCATTGTAGGTTCTTCATATTCTGATGGAACATCAGATGTGGAAAGACTGGATGATGCTGTGCCTCCAGGCCAGTCGTTCAAGTATGTGTGGAATATCACTGCAGAAATTGGGCCAAAGAAAGCTGATCCTCCCTGTCTCACTTATGCCTACTACTCACATGTAAACATGGTGCGAGACTTTAATTCTGGTCTCATTGGTGCTTTGCTGATATGTAAAGAAGGTAACAAAATGTGTAAAGAACCTGCAGCCTGTTTCAAGTGTTGATCATTGCTGAGATTAATCTGTAATATGCTATTTTTCTGTTCATTTTTGTATTTCTATCCGCTTAATGTTTATGTTTCATAGGGTTGTTGATGTTTTTTTTGACAAAGATTGAGGCAGAATTATAAAGGCTATTACATAATTGGAAATTCTGCTACTTAGTTTTCAAAAGCTTACATTGTACCCAAGAAGGTCTCCATATAGAGATGGCAGTAAGAACCATATAAATGTATGGCAACAATGATGAAATGGAACCTAGTACCACCTTCAGAATTAAGTGTGCAACTTACTTCACACAACTCATAAGAACATAAACCTCAATAAAGCTGTTTAATCTTGAAAATGCTACCGGTCTCTATATCTGTCATCAAAGATGGATAGGGACTATTTCTGTGCTGCTGGAGAGGAGAGAATTTATGGCATCTGCAACAGACAATATACTTTGTCCCTTAGTTCAGTTGTGATTTTACTTTTGTGATTTTACAGCTGATGATATGAATTTTTTAAACAAAATAATTAACCAAGTTAATAGAATTAGTAAATTCAATGTTCGCCTTTCAGGCGTTATAATTATTTGTTTAAAGCACAAGACAATTTGCTGATTTTTTGTAGTATAATCTTGGGGGCTCTAGGACCAGAAATAAGGGCCTGTAGCCAAGGTTGCCCATCTCTGTAATAGGTAATCTTGTAATAGGTAACCTTGGTAACCTTTTACTTATCCTTAATCTATGTTGTGTCAGCTTTGAAATTCAGCTGCCACATTTTTTTAGAGAGTTAGAGGAGTTGAAAAGTTCAAGGTTATTCTGTATGTTGTATTAAGAATTTCCAGTTGCAGTTAAATGGTTCTCATGATTTATGAAGTGTAGAAATGGGAGGAGAGAAGGGAGGAGAGAAGGTGGATTCTGTGTAACGGAAAAAACTTTCATTTGGGAAATTGGTTTTGACATGCCAGATCTGTTTCTAATAAATCAATTGGAGAGATAACGACTCGGAGTGATTGATATCATGGATACTTTCTGGATGCCTTACATGTTGATCCTCAATTCCCTTAAGAGTTAGGTGGCATAGTGAAAGGTTTTGTTGCACTAGAGGCTGACAATTTAAAATATATTTGTTATTCAAGAAGTTATTGTAGTATTTGATCATTTATTCCATCTTGTCATTGTCCTATTCTTTTTTTAGGAAGCCTGAATGCAAATGGTACACAAAAACTCTTCAACAGAGAATATGTACTGATGTTTTCTGTGTTTGATGAAAGCAAGAACTGGTACAGAAAGCCCTCACTACAATACACAATTAATGGGTTTGCCAATGGAACATTGCCTGGTATGTCCTCTTCCATATTATTGATTAGAATGAAATTACAGGCATTTCTATGACAACTACAGCAGCTGTTTTTTTTCTTCCAGATGTTCAGGCTTGTGCTTATGATCATATTAGCTGGCATTTGATAGGAATGAGTTCCAGTCCTGAGATCTTCTCTGTTCACTTCAATGGACAAACCTTGGAACAAAACCATTACAAAGTGTCAACCATCAACCTTATCGGAGGTGCCTCAGTAACAGCCAAAATGTCAGTGAGCAGGACAGGAAAATGGCTAATATCTTCTCTGGTTGCAAAGCATCTACAAGGCAAGGTTTTCTTTATTAACAGGCAAGCTGTATAATTACACTTAAAAATTCATTCTCTTGTGTAGAACTCATACAAATCATCATATCCCAAAGACAGTAGCATGAATGGGAGGTACAATTTGCAAAATGATTCCAGAACAGCAGGAACTATGTTCCATGACAATTGCCATACCTAACCATATCCTACATGCCTAGAATCTGTAACCATAGCATTTCATATCCCCCTAAAGCTATGGTTGTGGACTATGTTGGTTTATTTTTGCTCTAGGATGATGCTAGAAAGAGAAAAAATAATAAATATAGAAAGACTAATCACATTCACTGTACTTACTTTGATTATTTTTTTTCATTTTAGGCTTGCCTATCTCTTTTTCCTGCCTCCACCCAGTTTTCTGAAACCAGTTTCCAACCCTAAATTGTAATACCACCTTCTCTCTTTTAAACCCTCAGATACTGATTATGTGTATGTGTGCATGTACATACATACATGCATACATGCATACATATATATGTATATGTATGTGTATGTGTATGTGTATGTGTATGTGTATGTATGTATGTATGTATGTATGTATGTATGGCATTCAGCTTTGTTCAGGTATTTTCCCACGTCATTATAGTTGTGCTTTTAAAGTTGTGGTAACGTTTCGGCAGAATCTCATCTGCCATCATCAGGCTTCTGTATAGTGTTCGTCTGTGAT